TTATAATGTCATTCAAACATGTCCGTTTCCCTAATTAGCTGTATAGATAGTGTCCGCTCATTCATTTGATTTTTGAGTTAATTGATTGTCCTACTTGTCCTACTTGTCCTACATGTTATATATATTTTTTAAATATACTTCTGAAAGAAATTAAGAGACCACTGCAACATTTTCAGTTTCTATTTATAGATAAGGGTTTGAGTAAAATCAGCATTTCTGCTTTTGATTTTATATCCACTAAAAACATCCAGGAGCCTGTTTTGAAGCATGCTCACTGCTCCTGTTACACAAGCTGGCGTGATGACTTAATATCATCCTAAGATTGTTAAGTGACATTTGAATTATATGAACACCATTGATCAAGATAAAGATGGATGCCAAAACGAGCCAAAACTAAGTCAAGCTGCTTGAAATGTTGCATTAGGAGTGGCATAAAGTCAACAGAAATGTGATAGACAGGCCTTAAGAAGAAGAAGATGAAGAAGATGCACCTTTATTAATCCCTGAAAGCTGTGATCGGGGTTATTCGACCAAATACTTATTTCTAAATTCTTCGTATGCTAATTCACAAGTATTGTGGTGTTTAAATAGAATATGAACTTGTCTTTTTTGCATTATTTTAGGTCTAAAACCCTGCATCCATGTTATTGAACCAGTTCTAATTTTTGGCAAATATATTATGTAAATTATGAATGGAATTTGCTATAATTGCTGTCAGTAGACATGGAATAACAAGAAATGTTAACTTCACTTGAAATAGTAAAAATAGTGAAACTGAACATTATGCAGCGGTATCTTAATTCTTCCAGAGCTGTCAGTGTCGTGGTCAGTTACAATCACAAGAGATTATTATGGTGTGGTTCTGACCTCTAGTGGCAAAGAGATAGAATGATAAGAAAGGAGTCTGCAGGCAAAGAGGCCATGAAGGTTTCCCATTTCTCACATTTCCGACTCCTCGACTCCTCCACCGAAGAGTCGAGGGGCCACATGCAGCCTGCGTGATTGGCCTGTACGGAGGGGCGGCATCTGGGCCCTCCGGTAGTGACCCGGAAATGGATTTCAGCGTGCCATGTTGAAGGACATCTAATTTCTTTAAATGCACATCGAGGACAAAGGATCGAGCATCGAGGAGGCTCTCTGGAGGAGCTATAACCGAGGATACACTAATGTATCCTCCGTGGATGTATTTCCGGCAACAGTGATGTTTAAAAGAGTCGTGAAGCACGGCCGGATTTATCTCAGCCAATGACAGCTCTGCAAACTGCTGGATGTTATTTTATTAACTGCTTTAATCACAACGCGATGTTTACAGTGAGAACAGCTGCTGAGGTCCGTGCAGAAAGCAGAGCAGTGTATGTAATATATATCACTCAGTACAGGCCTACATTACTCTCTGTATTTGTATGCTTTAGTTTGGTAGATATCTACAAACAAAGAGTCGATATTGGGATATATCCAGTCTCTGATAGTTTTACGTTATTATGAGAGTGCTCTCATACTTGTTTGATTCTGAAATTGTATATGTATATTTATATATATATATATATGTGTGTGTGTGTGTGTGTGTGTGTGTGTGTGTGTGTGTGTGTGTGTGTGTGTGTGTGTGTGTGTGTGTGTGTGTGTGTGTGTGTTCGCATCTGTAGCCTGTTATTGTCTCATTATATATACCGCACTGTGAATGAATTCAAAGTAAATATATAAGTCGTCATGAACACAGTTCTGTCCATCAGACAGAGTGATGCTGTGCCTCCTGTCACCATTAATGGACGTCTCTTTAAAATGACCGCTCGCATCTCCTGTGGGCGGGACTACGACACGAGGATAGGAGTCGGGGAGAGGAATCGAGGAGGAGAAATTAGAGAAATGGGAAACCTTCCATGTGTTTCTAATAAAAATATAAAATAAATAACATGGGTTGCTGATAATCAGTGACTAACAGTGTGTGCATAAAAACATTATTGTTTATGTAAAAGGTTTTGCAAAGTATCATTGCTAATATTGTTTTACTTCTAATGAATCCTTCATATTTTCTTTGTTAATATTGGGTATACTTTGGGTTAATTGATTTACTGCATTGTTATTACTATTTGAAACATTTGTTTTTGCCTTCTTTTAGTAAATATTTGAAATAAACAGAAAAATATACAGTAAAGATGTACATATATTCAAAATAACAATTTGATGAAAAAAAAAACAGCCATATAAATCAGTTACAACCCCCAGAAACAAATGTTAAACCAAAACTAAACCACTATATAAACATATTGCATGTATTGATAATTGTCTGCATGAGCACACTTTAACATATTGGCAAATACAACACATTGACATGAACACTGTTGGTCATATATGATGTTACTGTAATTAACTATTGGCACATGGTACTGTCATTAAGACACAATGACGTATTGATTCAATGATAGATAAGGCGTAATGGACTGGAGAAATAAGGGAAGATTGCCTTGTGACTAAACGAGTGAGTGACTGTTGGAGAAATGTAAAGTAATTAATTGACAACAGTTTATTTTCAAAGGACACATTCAAAAAGCCTGCTTATGGAATACATTCCTCTTCTCCTTTGGTGTTATGAGTGGGAATACTAGTAAACAGTGATTCATTAGTCACTCATAGTGACCTCCAGGAAAATCAAATGGTTGAACATTTACAGCCTGAGACAAAGGGTGTCAAGGGTCAGTGGCCTTGCACTATTGCCTATTTTGGAGAAGCAGAATATGGTATGGCCGTAACACACATGATTTTTATTATTATTATCAATGACCTCGTTCCAACATATCTTATATTTAATCACTGATAAAATATCCAGGAGGCTGAGATTCTTGAAGATTATCTTAAAACAAGTTGGAACAAAAGGCAACAATTCACATTTGAGTAATTTATATTTTTGTGTTTATGCTCTTTACACATAACTATCAGCAACACATAATGTATGAATATCGTTGATTCAGTTTTATTTGGATTCCCTTTTTTTGTTTTAATGTCAATTTTTTTTACTAAATTAAGTCTTTACTGCTTATTATGAACCATTGTTACACTTTTGCAAATAAAAAGCCAGTGGTTCTCTGAATATATATATATATCATTTGTTTATTCTTATCTTTTAATTAGTTAAATCATTCACAATAAATCTTAATAAATCTTACTGGTTGGTTTCTGATATTAATTTGTACATGTTTTATTCTTACCCGATAGTTTTCACTCACATGTGTGTGTGTGTGTATTATTTGTGTGACTTATGTTTAATTTATTGTAATAATTGGCAATTGTTCTAGTACAGGATATAACTCTTCTGCACCAGACTCTCAGGCTAATACAACAAACATACAATACAGCGAAATAACACAGCTGAATACATTTTTAAATGGGCCCTATTTAGCCTTTTCCCTCTCCTGTAGTGTGTTATAGGTTTTTGCGCATAAATGGTTTTCAAAGGTTAAACTCCCAAGCTCTCTCCAGAGGGAGTTTCTCTCTTCTGTAGCTTACACGTTGTGCAGCACATTGATCTTCGACCTGGAATAAAATATGATGAATACATATCGTTTTTAAAGCTTGCTGGCTTGAAAACAAAGTGTTCTATTTCATCTGTGGGATCAGCTGTCACATTAGAAGAGCACAGAGTTCTTGAAAAGGTTATATGTTTATGCAGTGATATTCGATATAGCTTACAGTACACTGTATGACCTGGGTATTTTTGTAGACTCATCTTTTTAAGACCAAGCTTGTCATTGAATTATAGAGCTTAAGGGTGAAAACGGGCACAGGCTCTTACTATGCCTTCACTCCAGGAAACCATCTTTAACGTAGGTAAAATTTATTAAACAAAGCTGGATTGGACTTGTCCCGCTGAATATGTCATGTACATGTTTTGTTTTTAGTAAAGGGAAAGAGATTCAAAATCTGAGGTTTATACATTGACCGGAAAACCAATATTTGATTAGTCTTAGGTAATTACTGGGGGGGGAAAGCAAAATAAAGGAGTGTTATGAAAATAGCACAAAGCAAATACATGTTTTTGATAAAGTAAAATGTTATGATTGAGTTATGTGTGTGTACATTTGGTGAATATGGGAATGAACAAAAGTGTTTAAAAGTCATTAAATCTGGCCACTGCTCTTTAAATGTAAATGTAATAATTCAGGCTTACAAGCAAGCTAGAAAATATAGAGCTACATTGCTAGTGTGGTTCTCTTAATGCAAGACACATCTTTGCTGAACTATTTTTCATCTATTTCTGCTATTAACCACTTCTTACATGTGAGCGTTCAAAGGACACATTCCTATTTAAATTTCAAACTCAATGCCATACGTTGTTGGTCTTTTTGCAATCGTAAACATTATAATATAGATAACCTTATTATTTACGAATAACTTCAATCCCAGTAATGATGGAGAATGTCAAGCTATAACATATAGATACTAGGCTTTAATCCCATATTTAGTTGCCTTTTTCTTCATGCTAATGTAGTTTTTTACAAAGCCAAAGAAATCACGGTGGATTTTCTAAATATATACTAAACAATTTTGCTTTCGAATTACTTGTGACAAGGTGTAGGCTATAGCTTTAATATCCTCAATCAAGCATAATGGAATTTTACCTAAAAAACAGAGAAGTCGTTCTTTCAAGTAAAAGATTATATGCAACAGGACATTTCAAAATCCATCAATTGAATTAAATGTCATTTTAACTGGGGTTAGTGGAATATATAGCAACTAGGAAATAGATGTAGGCCTACACATAGTTACAGGTTCTTAATTTATCTAGGAAAACCCAATTGTCCCATTTCCAAAGTGTAATTTGTCTAACAATATAATACTATGTTTTTTACTTGGGATATTTGCAATCAAAAGTCAAAGAGCAACATTGGTTTTGATGTGGCTCTTTTCTTGTCTGGTCTAGTTGCTTAGCAACAGGCAGTGGGCGGGGATCATTAAGATGGTGGGCGTGGCTTATATCAAGAACGGCGAGACAGGCAGCAGATCAGAAGGGAGGGAGCACGAAGGGGAGGCACTGAAACACCGGTAGGGATTGTAAACGCAGCTGCACCTCCGAGGCATTGGCTGCAGACTTAAAACATTTATCCCCACGATCGCCGGGTGGTTTCCTCTGTGATTCGGTACACGGCAGGAGGAAATGTCTAACGGCAGCTGGAAGCCCTTTGTGTTCGGCGGGCTGGCTTCTGTGACGGCGGAATGCGGTGAGTGGCGAGCGGAGAGGAGGCCGAATGGCGCGGCTCACTTTTAATTATGTAACCCTCTGGTGTAATTTACAGAAGTATGACATGTTTTGTGTTGCAGGGACCTTCCCAATCGACCTAGCGAAGACACGTCTTCAAGTCCAAGGCCAAGTAGGCAGCAAATACCGAGAGATCCGGTACAGAGGCATGCTCCATGCGATAGTGAGGATAGCAAGAGAGGAGGGGCCCCGGGCTCTGTATTCAGGGTCAGTATGCTGGATGCATGCTTTGTTGTGTGTCTATATTACTATCCCAGTTGTACTCACTACATACAACTGGAGATACTCTTTGTTTACAGTCGTACTCTGTGCAGCATACCTTCTAAATGTTCACACTTCCTCATTTTTGTGCACTTCCTCTTCTTTTTGCAACAGCTTTAATCCCACCTACATTAACTCAACCCAAAGAAGGGGGGTTATACCTGTGTCACAGCTTTATATGTATTCCTTATATGGTGACACTCTTGTGTTTTTTTCTTCCTATATGCTGTTTAATGTCTTTTTCTGGGTTTTGTACCACAGTATTATGCCTGTAAAGCCTTCTGAGTTATTGTGAGCTAGGATATTAAAAACCTTGATTTAACTTTTACAGACTAGCTCCTGCTATGCTGCGCCAGGCCTCCTATGGGACTATAAAAATTGGCACATATCAGAGTTTAAAGCGGCTGCTGGTTGACAGACCGGAGGGTAAGTCCCACTTTCTCCTTTTTACACATAAATAAACACTTCTGCAAAAATGTTGACAGGCGGGTTACCTGCCCCCGTCGACATATGCATGTGGCCTATTTAAGTTTGTCTCTTTTTTTCAAAATTAGGCTTCCGTTTTTGCTACTTTAAAACACTATTTGCATGGTCTGAAAAGTGTTTGTTCACACAGTCTGCCTCCCACTCTTCTCCTCTTTCAGATGAGACATTGCTGACTAATGTGGTGTGTGGGGTTCTCGCTGGAGTCGTCTCCTCCACCATTGCTAACCCCACTGATGTGCTAAAGGTAGCTATTTGCACAAATCAACTACAAGATTCTGTTTTATCTCCTTGTCGTTGTCAGTCTTTCTCCAAAAGCAGTAGAGCAGGTATGGTAATCTCCTAAAGATGCCTCAAGGCTTGTGGTAAATCTTCTAACTAAAAACCGAGCTTCTTGGTGTGAAGCTATACAAACAGCTTTGATACCCTGTGCAGCCTTGAGCATGACTGTGATACAGTTATTATGGGTGTGAAATGTAATGTAATGAAACTTTAGAATTTCACAATTCAATCAAAATAGTCTACAAACAATCACTGACACAGTCCATTGGGGTGCTTATTTCAGGTTCTACTTTAGTTTGCATTGTGCTAATAAGGACTGTGTGACAGATTATTGAGTAGTGTGAGTTGGATAATGGAGTTTTATATTTGAAAAAGTTATACATACTGATAACACACAAAGGCAAATTAAAGACAAAAGTTACGTTTATGTATGCTAAACTTGCACAACAACATAACAATGATCTTAATATTTGTTATATTATAAGGGACTTTTATAATAGCTAGTTCAAGTTATACAGAAAATTAATAATGCTACATAAATACAACTTTTTTGTGTAATCTTTGTAACAAATTTCACAAAACTAATCGACAATTTTTATTTAGTGTCTGAGGTCAATCAGCAAAATTGCGGATCTTTAGATTGTTTTTGTTTCTTTAAACAAAATAAATGTACACCCCATCCCTAACATCAGTAATGTAATATTAATAAAAATAAACTCCTTGTGGTCTGACGGTAGCATGCCGATTATGTTAAAGGGCATCATAGCACTACCAAGAGCCAACTTGTGGATTATTTATAGACTGAAGCCTCCGGGGCTTAACATAGTGTTCTGTAAACGATATGAGTGTGCACATGCTTATCTGTATTCGTAGTGTTTCGACCGGCCCTCACCATGCCCCGTTAGGCATAATGTCCAGTGCAGATTGCTTGTTTTTTAGAGGGTTAACGGTCTAATGGAAGTGCCTTCAGGTCTGGCACATTGCGTTTCCATCATGGTGTTTTTTTGGTTGCGACCACCAAGTCATTATGCAGCAAGACACACAGACAAACCGAAGCTGGTCTGCAAACACACGTCACAAAAAAAACTTGATCAGGGAGAATTCCTGGAAATAAGCAGAAAGACAATACTTTAGGACATTGGGCTTGGCAGAAATCCCTGCTTAACATTTTGCCTTTTCATTTCCCAGATTCAAACACCCCTGTATTTGGCGTGGTTGGCCTTCAGCATTCCACTCTGGTTGTGTACTTTCATTGTCTCTAGCAAGTTTATTGACCCAACCTCTCTTATCTTCCAGATCCGCATGCAGGCGCAGGGCCGCCTGATCCAGGGAAGCATGATGGGCAACTTCCTCAATATCTACCAGCAGGAGGGAACGAAAGGACTGTGGAAGGTACAGAGAGTCTGAATTGCTCAATTTGCAATTCTAAACGGGCTCGGTTTCCACGGGTTACAGGTAGCACTGCTCTTTAGCACTCGAGTCACTCCCTCTCTCTCTCTCTGCTTCAGGGCGTCTCTCTAACGGCTCAACGAGCGGCCATCGTGGTTGGAGTGGAGCTCCCGGTCTATGACATCACCAAGAAGCATCTGATCCTGTCGGGGCACATGGGGGACAACGTGTACACACACTTTGTGTAAGTTTGCCTCTGGAGTTTCTCCTGCCTCTAATGTTTATCACTCGGAGGCCAAGACACTTTTCAATATCTTGAAGTGGAAAACACACCCCTGTTTTCAAGTCTTTGTACTTGCAACTAAGGAGCAAAACATTCTGTTTGTTTTTGCAAGTTTCTCAATGCTCAATTCTGGGTTTCCTCTGGTCTTTTAAAAAGTCTTAAATTGAATTGTCTTGAGATATAAAAAGAGAAAGGTTTTAATGGTCTTACTGTAGGGTTAACTGCAAATGTTTAATGTCAGAATCTTATTTGTGTGCTTGGCATAGGAAATAACTACAATGAAAATAGAGGTTTTCCACCTGGTCAGAATCTACCTGAACATATCCATAAGGGCTTTTTTCTTCCTATTGACTGTAATGCTGTCCCACAATGTAGTTAAATTAAGTTGTATTTATGCTTCACTTTGCCGCAATGTTGAATGATTGTTTTTGAATACATAACTAAGGCCAGTTGATTCCTGTTTCTATGAAGACATTACAAATGGGAACATTAGAACACTTTGAACTCACCCATGAAGCAGCACATGTGTTGTACCTTGTACTACCGGCCATCTCTTAATGCAGTTTGCTCATGGGCGATGCTTCAATTCTACTTGTTTATTATTAATCTTTATTATTAATCAGTGATTAAATTAACTTTAATTTCTCATCTTTGCAGCATTTCATTTTTGTTACATTAGTGGCTGCAGCACACACATCGCAGCAATGGCTAAATATTAAAATAAAGGACTACATTAAAAAGTCTAAAGATGCTAATTAGAACCTGTGTCTTGTGGTCCCACAGCTCCAGCTTTACGTGCGGCTTGGCGGGAGCTCTGGCCTCCAACCCAGTGGACGTAGTTCGGACACGCATAATGAACCAGAGAGGAGTGTTTCTGTACCAGGGGACACTGGCGTGTATACTGCAGGTCAGTCACCACATTCAGATTAGAGGACATTTGAAAGGAACACTTTACAAATGACATCAGTTTTTTCCTTATGGGCAATACTTTTTAGCTCATTGCATAATGCCTCCTGTGTATCTGAAAGAGGCTTTAAAGACTGAGATAATACCTCCTGTTCTAAAAAAACTAGTTAAATTCTGCCCCTACAGTCTTACCACTGGGTTGACTTATTTCAGGAGTGAGGTCTCAATACAACAATATTTTGTCAACTGAATGCCAAAATATTCAGAGCTCACTCACAATTACCTCTAAGGTTACCAAATGATTGTTTATTAGGAAGCAATGTAGAAGGCTATTTATTATTAAAAAAAATGTGTAAAGGTACCAGGGCGCGTCTATCATTTTCCAACCCAGTTGACATTTAACCACTTCCACATAGGGCTGGGCGATATGGTCTCTAAATGATATCGCGATATTTACTGACTATATCGCGATATACGATATATATCGCAATATTATGAAATGTCCTCTAAAACACATACATTTTTTTTATTTAACCCCTTGATGTTTACAGTCACGCCAGTATGATGATTCTAGTAGTCCCTGCAACATATGTCTGCGACTAATAATGAAGAAAATTAACACATTTGTTGCAATAGTAATTTATGCACTAACTACATTACTACTTGTACTACAACATTTGAATCATCAGTTCTTCCTCATTTTCCTCAATTGTTCATATTTGGTTTATTAAAATAATGATATTGTGGTCATTGTTCAAAAATGTCTGCTATTATTATGAGTAGTATTATTATTATTAGTATAATGCGCTTTCTGTCTTCCTGTCATTATCAGGAATTAGACATGTAATGGCTATGTATTAGATTAGATTAGAACCTTCATTCTCCTAAACTGCTGGGACATTTCCCTATAGCCAATACCTTTTATATTTTCTACTCTTCACTTACTTGTCAGCATAGGTCGGCATTGATGTACAGAGCCGACAGAAGACCTTGTTTATATTGGCATCATATTGAGAGGTGCAGTGACGCGTCCTAAAACCAGGAAGTAAGCTGCTGGTTCCCTCGACAAAAAAGCTGAGACTGCCAAGGCACACNAATCTACGCTTGATTTGTTTTCATGCAACTTTGGGTATTATTACATAGCTGTCTTTGGCTCTTTTCTGCTGTGACAATGTACATTTCCCCTCTGTGGGACTAATAAAGGTATTCTGATTCTGATACAGATGTTCACTTCTATTTCTAATGGGTACATTCCTAGTATCACAGTGGACTGTTGCTTTTTTATGGATCCAGCCATTAAATAGCAACATAAGTATTCCTTTAAAATCACGTTTGTGGTCACTTAAATGTGGACAAATTTAAGTCCAAGTCTAGCTCTGTTTTTGTTCTCTACCAACTGCTGAGGGAAATGTTTTGTTCTGTAGCTGCCAAATGCTCCACTCTGTTCAGCAGCTAGATGCTTAATTAATGTGTGTGTTGTTTGGTGCTGTGAAGGTTGTGTGCAGGGGTCTTATTGGATTTCACTTGAAAGAGCTGCCTGCTACAGCTGGAAACAAAGTTGGAAGAGCAGCTAAAGTGAACCAAAATAATAATGTTTTGGACTGGACCACTAAAGAAGAGGCTGAAACTCAATATGAAGCTTTGTAAAGCAGAGGGTAGCTTCAGATTCAGATGATTATTCTCTGTAGGTTCATCACTCAAGCAACCCCTTTCACTTTGTTATTATTAAAATATCAATAATTTACTAATTAAATATGTTGATGGACTAACTTAGAATAAACTCACCCCCTTTTAAATATATTCATCGTACTTTATTTTCAACTGTTATATATTCAGCTTGAATTTCAAGTAAAGACATCTCTGAGAAGAGTGCATTTTATGATAACTATATAATATATATGTAAATATGATATGGAAGAGAAAATGGTTTGAATATTCAAGATGCTGCCGTGTAGGAATGTATTTTTACAAATGTATCAAGATTTGTGGAAAGTTGTACACACACACACACACACACACACACACACACACACACACACACACACACACACACACACACACACACACACACACACACACACACACACACACACACACACACACACACACACACACACACACACACACACACACACACACACACACACACACACACACAAACAAACAAAGGCCTGGCCCAACATATTTACCAGTAGATTATACTCCACAGATGTTGAGAACTTCAGCAGCAGCCAACATAAACTGTATAGAAGCAGTGAGAGAGAACATTGTGACAGGCGGCAAAAACATAATTTGAACTCATTTCCTTTCTGTGCTTGAGGTATAAACTCAAAGCACCCATGGCTGTTTCTAGCCAATACAACGTATGCCTGCTCACACTCTTGAATATGCAATAAAGAATCTACTTGAGGCTTTAAAATGGACCCTGACAGACTCAGACACACTGTCAGGAGGTGGGTCTGTGGATCCATCCAAATGTGAGGGTGGCTTACGGGTGAAATGTTTTTCTTTGAAATGTTACACAAATGTGGATGCCAAATGACATGAATATTGTTGTAATTTCTAGTTTTGATACCACATTTATCAAATATACCAAATATCTCAGGCTGGATTAGGGGGATTTGGATGTGATGCAATGCATGCTAAGAGCTCCAACAAGATTTGGAATAAAAATGTACTTTTTTTCAAATTCAAAAATACACTACATAATAACAAGGTGATATAGTATGGGGTAGAATAGTTGTTAAGGTTTTCTTTAACTCCATTGGATTGTGCTATTATCCGAGGGGGACTTCAGTAAACTTAATAATACCACAGTGCAGAAGTTCTAACTTAAAATGTACTTAAGTAAAATATACTTAAATGACCAAAAGTAAAGTACTAATTCTATGAAACAACCCATTCAAGAACAACACATATTATGTAATCGGCTAATAGTTATTCATGTACTATTTAGTACATCACTTAATTGTTGTAGTTGTTTGTTAACTGTATATTGCTAGGTAGTAAAGTTGATCTTAACTTATAATGGTACATTAAACATAATGTATTCATGAATCAACTAGAGTTGTCAAATAAATACAGTAAAGTAAAAAAAAGAAAACGTCCATAGTGTCTGTAAACCACTTGCTCTCATAATTGATAACATGAATATTTGCACGTTTGTACAGATCAAACAATGTACAGCAAACCTATAACTCTGCATACCACAGTTCCACATCTGTTGGATATAAGACCTGTGGGAAGCTAAGCCTCAGCTCACATGCCACAAAGAATTGACATGATTCATCCATGATCAGCATGTCAGTTTCTGGGCAACAATCTCCAAATGTTTCTTACAGCCCTGTTGGAGCATTCCATCAGCAATAACCAGCTACAGTCTACTACACTTATTGGCAACTTTATCAGGTAGGATTTACTTGTTTTTGGCCAACGTGATAACTAAGTACCCACTCACACTTAATCTACTTGTTCTATAAATCTCGCAGCTCATCTGTCTCCAGGTTTAACAAGTTTGTGTTGTTCTCAAAATCACCTCAGAGTGTTATATATTTTCTTTGTCACGTTAACGGTTCCCCACCTTTCCGCCTGAACTCTTTGGTCATCCCTTCCTCAACTCCATCTTTCTAACAGGTGTTTCTTTCTTTGATCAAGTGTTTTCCCCCAAAGGACTGCAGCTGACTGGATATTGCGCAATGTTCTGCATGTCAAAGCAGAGGAAAGCAGCCATATCTGAGATACATGAACTGGTGGATTTGGCCTGAACTCATATCGGGGGATAGTGTCCACTTTTTCTTTCATTTCACAAACAAAAAATGTACTTCTCAAAGTAGTGGGTGCTTTTATTCATTTGGACATGATTTTAGTGTGAGGAGAAGTTGAGTTGGTTGCATCAATAAAGTGGGAACATCTGTCATAAGACAGGTATCTCCCGAGGAATTTGTGTGTGTAACCCCTGCTCTTATTCACCAAAGAGAAGCCGGAGTGCAACCTGTAATGCTTTTTGGAGGTGATCAGTTTTTAGCTGTCAGGGAGGAGCCTCCTACACAACACACACACACACACACACGCACACACACACACACACACGCACACGCACACACACACACACACCTGCACAAATACAACACACCCTTTTCTCTTCCTCCCCGTTCACTCTCAGATAAATGTCCACGATGTCCTGGGAAAAAGGGGTGATTACCTTGGACTCCGACTTTCTGGGAGGTCGAGTTCGGGCTGTTCCGGCGTCTCTCCTTCTCTCTCTTCTCTTGCTGAGACTAGTGGGACTAGGGGAAAGAAGGACAGGTTTGTACCTGAAGTAAACGTTTCCTTAATCCTATCGAAAATAACGACGGTACGATTAGGCCTTGACAACCTTGTCTTTTTCCGTCTATGAAAAGAACACAGGTATTTTTCCTAAGGAAGTAACCATTGCCAAAAGAAACCTCGAACACAGAAAAAGACCCATTGCGGCGAACAACTCTCACGGGCGACTTACATGAAATCGTCGATTACCTCATACCTTGGGCTTATCTGTGGAACTGACCAAAATATAAATTACCAACAAAACCTCTTCCACCACACCATACTTGACGTGTTTCTCTCTATTTCCTACAAAATTGTTGAGACCTCCACTGACAACTAACAGAACAAAGTCTCTTTTAGCGATATCAAACTTTAATTCTCTTTTAGTTGATTTTGACGATAATTTTAATACATAAGAAGTTATAATAACAACTTTACAGAGTTTTAATTTGGTTTGTAGGTCAGACTTAGTATTGATGGCCTTGCTACTTCAAGTCAAAAGTTCAACACAAACAAACAAAAAATTTACCTGCATACTTACGACTCTCAAAACAAGCAAAAATGTCAAGGAACCTATCGTCTTTTGCTTAAAACACTTGTGTTATTTCACGTAACAACATATCCCCTATCTATACACAGGAAATACCCAGTTTAATTACATATATACAGACATAAGAAACCGGAGTTGCAAGTTAATATTCTTGCCAGTATTTTGGACTTCAATTGTGTTGTGTTTAATTCTGGAAAATTTTGTGCACTATATTGACGTTTTAAATTTCCACATTCACGTCCCATC